CCCTCTATGATCACAGCAGCCTTATTTACAAAAGCCAAAATCTGGAAACAGCCCAAGTGCCCACCAGCAGATGAAAGCTATGGTATATTTACACAATGGAATATTGTGCAGCTGTAAAATAAAGAAGAAACTCTTACCTTTGGCGACAGCATGGATGGACCTGGAGAGCATTATGTCAAGTGAAATAAGCCAGTTGGAGAAAGACAAGTTCCCTATGATTTCACTCATTTTGGAATCTAATAAACAAAATAAATGGAAAAAAACATAGTGGAGAGAGACGTATGTATACAGAGAACAGACTGACAGCTGTCAGAGGAGGGGGGTGTTGTGGGCTGAGGGAGAAGGGCGAATGGATTAAGGAAAGAGATAAAAGAAAGACTGATGTACTCAGACAATACTATGGTGACTGCCAGACGGAAGGGTGCTGGGCATAAAAATGGGGTAAGTGCTGTTGAAATACACTAGACTTAGGGTGATAAGCACACAATACCATATACAGATGACATAGTGTAGAATCATATACCTGAAACCTGTATAATTTTATTAACCAATGTCACCCCAGTAAATAAAAAATTCAATAAAAAAACAAATACATGTAGGCTGTTCGGAGATGTGGTTCCACTCAGACCCTCGGCACCTGCTATTTTTAGGGTGAGAAGGTGTCAACTTCCTGTGAGGCAAGCACCTTGTGGACAAGGCGCAGGTGATCGTGTGAGGACCCTGCCCCCACATCCTGTGGCCTTCTCTGTTTGGCTCAGCCCTTGCCTCCTCTTCCTCAGAAGCACCCTGGTCCCCAAGTCCTCAGTCTCCGGAAGTGCAGGTCGACAGGAGCTGAATATGGACTTAGTGTTTCTGAATTTCTGCTCCTTGCCTGCTTCTAAGGTGACAACACAAGATGAGACAGTCTCCTGGGAATTTTATGGCTTTGTGACTTACACTGAAGTCTTTTATCCATTTTGAGTGTACTCTTGTGTATGGTGTAAGTGGATGGCAAATTTCCTTCCTTCCTTCTTTCCTTCTTTCCTTCCTTCCCTCCTTCCTTCCTTCCTTCCTTCCTTCCTTCCTTCCTTCCTCCCTTCCTTCCTTCCACCCTTCCTTCCTTTCTTTCTGTTTTGCATTTACCTGCACAATTTTCCCAGCACCATTTATTGCAGAGCCTGCCTTCACTCCGATAATTCACAAAGTCACTAATCATCCGGGAAAGGCAAGTGCTGGATGTAGAGAAGAGGGAGCCCTTGTGCACCGCTGCTGGGGATGCAGCCAGGTGCAGCCATTGTGGAAAGCAGCATGGAGGTTCCTCAAAATGTAAAAAAATGGAACTGCCATTTGACCCAGTGATCCCACTTCTGGGGATATCATCAAAGAAACCTGAAACGCTCATTCGAAAGATTATACACATCCACTATGTTCATTGTTGCATTATTTACAACAGCCAAGATGCGGAAGCAGCCTACGTGGCCATCAGTAGACGAGTGGAGAAAGAAGGGGTATGCATGTACTACGGAATATTACACAGCCGTTTTTAACGAAAGATGAAACTTTGCCATAGGCAACAACATGATGGGCCTAGAGGGCATTGTGCTGAGTGAGAGAAGACAGAGAAAGACAGGTGCCATATGGTAGATGAAAGCAAATTAGTAAAATGTATATGAAAGCATCCCTCCTGTCAGAGTCTGGGGTGTACTGCAGGACCCAGAGTCAAGTACCCGACCACCCACATGTGCCTAGAAATCATGGGAGAGCCAGACCTGGCCAGCTCCACTCCTGTCAGTTCCCGCTGGGAGAGGGGCACAGCCTCAGGTCCCCTGGCCGAGCCTCAAGTCACCTGGCCCTGGCATGAGGGCGCAAGGGTGTGAGGGTGTGATGACCATTTTCATATTAGCTCTTTATTATATAGGACTTTTATTGTTGACTCTGTTATAGTTGTCCCCCATTTCTCCCATTTGCTCACTGCAACCCACCTCCACCTCCCCCTCCCTTGGCCCTCACTACTCTTTTGTCTGTGTTCTTGGGCTGTGTATATATGTTCTTAGGTGAATCACTTCACATTCTGCATCAAGTCCCCCCACCCCCACCCCACTCTCCTCTCCTCGGACATCTGTCACTCTGTAAATTCGTTTCTCTTCCTGTCTTGGTATGTATCCCATAATGTTGCCATGAGCATTCTTATTTTCTTTCTGTTCTAGAGGCCCGGTGCACGGATTCATGCACATGTGGGGTCCCTCAGCCTGGCCTGCACCCTCTCGCAATCCAGATCCCCTTGGGGGATGTCAGACTGCCGGTTCGGCCCCATCCCTGCAGGCCAGGCTGAGGGATTGAACCGAAACTGGCAGTCTGACACCCCGCCAAGGGATGTAGTAGTGCGCAAAGTAGCAGGTGGGCGAGGAGGAGCCCAAGCCTGGGCTGGGTGCCATGCCACTCCCGCTCATCCCTGCCGGCCCTGCAGTGCCTGCCACCACCATTCAGTAGTGTTGCCGCAGAGGTGGGAGAGGCTTGCAGCACTGCAGCCTTGCTCGCCAGCAGTGAGCCCGGGTCTGGCTCACTAGGTCAGTTGAATAGTGCTTCAGCTGTGTGAGCACACTGACCACTAGAGGGCAGCTCCTGCATTTAGTGTTTGCCCCCTGGTGGTCTGTATGCAAACAATCGACCTGTCGTTTGGTCGCTTAGGCTTTTATATATATAGATAGTCTTCCCCTTCAAAATAATACTGTATCTTTTGTAATATTATTGACATTATTACAGATGACCTTCATCTCTGCCTGTATGCCGCCTCCAACCAGCACACACCACACTGCAAGCCTTCTGCACACTAATATCTATGGCTTTGAGCTATGCATATATGCAGGTAAGTTCTTTAGTTAATCTTTTTCTGCCTGCCGCCCTTACTTAAGATCTGTCTAGTTGTTCCATGCAGCATGCCTCTGGACTTATTTTTTTGATCAAGTTATATTGTTCATTAGAGTCCACATATAAGTGAAATCCTGCAATATTTGTCTTTCTCTGACTGGCTTATTTCATTCAGCATAATATTCTCCAGGTCCCTCCACGATGTCTCAAAAGGTAAGAGATCCATCTTTTTTTATAGCTGCGTAGTACTCCATAGTGTAAATGTACCACAGTTGTTTTATCCACTCCCACACAGCTGGGCATCTGGGCTGTTTCCAGGTCTTAGCTATTGTAAATTGTGCTGCTATGAACACAGGGGAGCATACATTCTTTCTGATTGGTGTTTTGGGTTCTGAGGACATATTTCCACAAGTGGGATGAGCTGGGTCCATCAGCAATTCCATTTTTGAGTTTCATGTTACCAACTGCGGAATAAAAAACTCAAACCTCTGCTATAAAAACGTCCATTGTGAGTTGAGACAGTTTCCTGATGGATGAACAGCACCAACATGACACTGCAAAGTCCATTCAAAATTGTCGTCACAGAATCCAAAGGCCAGACCAACTAAGGATATGATCCTTGCAGTGCCCGGGAGGGATTGGGCACCTGCCCCCTTAGAGCCTTCTCTCCTCCTGAGCCCTCAGTTTGGGGAAACTCAGAGCCAGGCCCAGGGCGGGAGAGTCCGCATGCAGTGGGTACACAGCTTGCGGACCCGGAAGGGCTGCAACAGCTTCTGACCCACCACATCCTGTACGTCTCTGTTTTTCCGACACTAAGTCTTCTCCATTTGCACAGCAGTAGCCCTGGGAACAGAAGCCATGATGTCCATCTGCTCTGCTCTTCTCTGCCTCGGTCAGTGGTGGACATGGGGAGGGCTAGAGGAGGGGTGGCGGGACCCCCTTGTTCATGGGGAACCTCAGGCTTTGGCAGCTCGAGTGGACGGGGCCCTGATGGGAGGAGAATCAGCTCAGACATCCAGAAGCAAATCTCTCACATGGACTCTCTTCCAGGGCTGAGTCTGGGCCAGAGGTTCCACATGCAGGCAGGTGAGTGCTTCCCAGGCTCCAGGTCCCACCTGTTACTTCCCCCCTGGGGCTCATGAGGGAGCAGAGAGGTGTTCTCCATCACACACATGACAGAGCATGATGGTGGGAGATACTCCTGTTATTATAACAGCCCCACTGGCTGGTCAGAGCCCAGTGACCCCCTGGAGCTGCAGGCAACAGGTGAGAGGACTCAAAGGGGTCCCAGCCTCAGGTTCTGCCCTCTGGAAGGGGGTCTGCTCTCAGGGTGTCTCCCTCTCAGAGCCCACCCCAGTGGGACATGAGGGAGGTGTGAGCCCATTGAACACGCTGCCTCCTCCTCTCCTAGGATCCTACAGCAAACCCAGGCTCTCAGCCCTGCCCAGCCCTGTCGTGCCCTCAGGAGAGAATGTGACCCTCCACTGTGGCTCAGGGCAAGGGTTTGACAGGTTCGTTCTGACTAAGGAAGGAGATCACAGGCTCTCCTGGACCAAGAACTCAGATTCACACTCCAAAGGCCTGTCCCAGGCCCTGTTTTCTGTGGGCCCCGTGACCCCCAGCCACAGGTGGTGGTCCAGAGACACAGAGAGACAGAGATCTGGGAGGCAAGACCAGGAGAAGGGGGTTATGGGGGAAGCACCCCCTGTAACTCATGTCTGGTCTCCCCAGGTGAGGCTGAGAAGCCCTCCCTCCTGAGCCAGCAGGGCCCCATCGTGGCCTCTGGACAGAGCCTGACCCTCCAGTGTCGATCTGATGTCAGCTATGACAGATTCGCTCTGCACAAGGAGGGTGAACCGGACCTCTCCCAGAGCCTTGTCCTGCAGCCCCAGGCTGGGCTCTCTCAGGCCCACTTTCCCCTGGACACTGTGAGCAGCTCCCACGGGGGCCGGTACAGATGCTACGGTGGATACAGCCTCTCCTCTGCGTGGTCGACTCCCAGTGACCCCCTGGACATCCTGGTGGCAGGTGAAGAGCCAGTGGGTTCAGTCAGGGACCCGACTCTGCACAGGCCCGGCGGGGGGTCTCAGGTGGTGAGGCCAGAATGACAGTGCAGGCCCCAGGGAGGGAGAGACAGAGAAATGTAGGAGTTAGGAAAGGAGAGGGGAGACTCAGAGAAACAGAGATAGACTGAGAGGCGGGTTCTCAGAGAGAGGCCTGGTAACTTTCAGGTACGAACAAGGGGGGCAGGCAGCCCTCACACTCACTCCCTCTCTCTAGGACACCTACCTGACAGACCCTCACTCTCGGTGAAGCCAGGCCCCAGGGTGGCCTCAGGAGAGAATGTGACCCTGCTGTGTCAGTCCCAAAGCTGGAGGGACACGTTCCTTCTGTCGAAAGATGGGGCAGCTGGTCTCCCCCTGCATCTGAGATCAAAGCACCGAGCTCGGCGGTACCAGGCAGAGTTCTCCATGAGTCCTGTGACCTCAGCCCACGAGGGCACCTACAGGTGCTACAGCTCACACAGCATCTCCCCCTTCCTGCTGTCACTCTCCAGTGAGCCCCTGCAGTTCCTGGTCTCAGGTGAGGGCCCCTGACCTGTCTGCTGAGCTGTCAACTTAGGGTCCTGTCCCCCGAAGTATTCTGGGCTGAATCTGGGGTGAGAGGCTCTCGGGATGGTCACCCCTAGGAGATCTTTTCTTTAGAGGCCTCTCATCCCATCCCTCCTTCTTCCCCTCACCTGGCTACTGGAGCAGTGGGATGGCCTCAGGGGCCACAGCACAGATGTAAGAGGGTCCAGGCTCAGCCCAAGCCACTCACCCTCTTCCTGTCCTCATTTCCAGGACCCTCTGGAGGCCCCAGCCCCCCATCAGCAGGGCCCATTTCCACAGCTGCTGAGTCCCAGGGAGCTCTGCTCAGAGGGAGCACAGCCCCGCCAAGCAAATCCTGAGAGTCTCTCAGGGGATCAAGTGACCCAGATCCTCAAGGACGGGCTTGTGTCCCAGGGCGGCTGGGAGTCCCAGGGTCTGAGGCACATGATGGGTTGAGTGGTCATGGCAGAGGGAGATGTGGGGGCACGGGCTGGGGAGGTGAACGTGGTCTCATTTGGGGAGAAGGCAGTTCCCACCCTTCTGCTCCATCCTTATCCACAGGAGGCTCTGGGCATCGGTCTCTCCCACCCACAGTTTCAGGCACACAGACGGGTAAATGAGAGCTCTGTGGGGTGGAGGTGGGTTTCTCTATGGGGGACAGGGGCTGAGCCATGCGGCGGTACAGGCCCTTCTGGATTAGCTGACGTGGACTCACCCTTTCCCTATTTGGGCCTCAGTGTCTGCAAGTGTAAAAGGACGGAATTATTGTCCAGATCTTAGATTTCCTTCGTTGGTTCTGGCCCTTGCCTCTTGGGAAAGGGGAGCTTCACAGGGAAGCCCACAGGACGTGGTGTTATGTGGACTGTCCCCTCTGTCTCAGTGAAGGTGACACTGTAAAGGGAGGGACATTCAGGACCAGGGCCCAGGGACCCAGTCCTCCCCCTAAGCTCAGGCTAAGCTCAGAGGAGGGAACATGGTGGATCAGCTCCTGGCTCTGAGGCTCCTGCTGTGGCGCTGGGTGGTCCTTTCTCTCCTCTGCGTGTCGAGGTCCTGTCTGCTCATCCCTGGTCCCATCCTGCTCACAGGCTGCTGGGAGATGAGGTGACATAAGGGCCTCACAGAGCTCAGGAAGGGAGGGCACTAAGCCCAACCCAACCTTCCTATGGGGCTATCAGAGACCCATGGGTGGAAACCCAGGATAGACTCAGAGTCCACCCAACAACTCGCCCATCCGTGTCCCAGATGCTCAGGGGGCGGGTAATGAGGAAGGACCCTCAGCTCCAAATGAGACCTGGACAGGCCCCTGCAGAGGAGGAGTCCAGAGCACAAAGCTGGTGTCCACCTGAGATGTGGGGGTGGGGCTGTGAGGCCAGCACAGGGAACCCACAGTCCCGGGTTCCAGTCCCTGCCCAGTCTCATCCAGGCTGGGTGACCTGGGGCATGTGGTTAACTTCTCTCAGCCTCAGTGAAGTGGGTGGTTGGGTCAGCAATGCCTGGTGCATGACTGCTGTGAGGTGATAGGGGATAAATGACAGGTCCCAGCATGTGCCTCGGACACAGTAGGTGCTCATTAAATGGCATCATTGGCTCATTTATGATGTCACTAAAGTCCTAGGTTCCAAATGGTACTGGATAAGGGTCTTGGTGGTCATGGTCCTGCTGCTCTCACTTCTTCTCTTCCTCCTCCTCCTACATCGGTGTCAGAGCAAAGGCAGGACCTCAGGTGAGTAGGGAAGGGGGTGACC